TCTTTGTAATTCAAAATCAAAACTCAATTTTGACAAGGTAAATCATTTTGACGTTATAATTTTTACTTTGTATCATAATAAAACATTTTTTTTACCTCATAAAAATTACTTTTTATTTAATAATTATTAAGAAATTATTATTAATAAATTATTAAATTTATTATAAATTTAGATTTTTAATTCTTATAATTTCAACTTTTTATGTTATGATTTAGTTAATTTTGTCAAATTAATTTCTTATCATTTTTTTAAATCAAAATTTCTATTTTTTTATCTTATAATTTAGACTTTTCAATGGTTGAATGATATTGTTAATGTTTCCTTAATTGTTAATGTTTAAAAAATATTATTTTAATGAAAAAAAATGAAAAAAGTTTGTCTTTGTAATTTTTATATCTAAAATAAACGTCTTTCCATTTCCTCTGATGTCATCAAGGACTCTCGATGAATAAAATCAAGCCCCGCCCCCATACTCTGTTTAGTTAAATAACCTGTAGAAAGTTGTTAATTAAAATGGCATGTGAACAAAGTTTTGTGTTGATGTGAAATATGGCTGTCAGATTGGAATTATAATGATTTAGTTTGAAGGAGAAGATTAACAAGCCACTTATGAAATTCCAGCTAATGAGATTGACTTCAAGCTTGATGAATTCCCCAGCTAATTGACACTATTTGTCTGACTCGTGATGATTAACAGCAGGGGTCTCTACAGGAAGTTCCTTTTGTCATGTGACACCCCTGCCTTGCACTGACAACAATAGATGTTCTCGTAGCGTCATGCATTAGTTGTGTACATGTGAAGCTGTGTGAGAACAAGAATATGAAGACCAGGTAAACATCTGAATGCTTTTTATAATGTGATGTTCGTTTTTAATAGGATAAAAGCAAGAAAAACAGTCGATAATAGAGCGATGTTGAATCAAATGGCAATATTTGTCTTGTACTTCATGATCTTTAAGTCTGTAATGTGTTTAAGTCAGGCTGCCTGAAGCTCTGCATGCGATGTTTGTTGTTGAGATTAGCCGGCGTGATCCACATTGAAGATGTGATGGTATGTCAAATACCTCAGATTACTTTTTAAACCCATCACACAAACCTAGGGGAAATACTTTAGACATTGCACTTTTATAATTCTCAGTTATATATAAACGCCCCCGATGTTTCTTCTTAAAGTCCTTAGGAGGAATAAAAATAGACACAGCAGTTGTCATACAGAGTATAGAGGTTTAAAATGAAGAAGAATCCCATGAAAATATTCATACTGCAAACTCCAATACATGACAAAATTACAGTTATTGCTAAATCCTTTACATTACAATTAAGGTGATATAATCTGACTGATTGCTTTTGACATAACTCGTTTATCACATTGATTTGAACAGGATAATCCTGTAATACAAAAGTACAAAGAAAAATATTAAATATTGCATTAAATATTACATTACCTCAGGGTTTCCCAGACATGATGGAAGTTTTTGAGTTTAATAAAAAGCTATTAATTAAATCATATTTTTTTTAATAAAGCAATCAAAATAATACACTTAGGGCCTTCTAAAAAAGAAAATGACCATTAACTGACATCTGAGAAACTTTCATTTAGAACTATACACTGTAAAAAAATTACTGTAAAATTTACAGTAACTTACTGGCAACAATTAGCCAGTAAGTTACTGTGAATCATTTTTACAGTAAGGGTACTGTAATTCCATTTACAGTATTTTATGTGTACACTGTGGAATCAAAAACAATTACTGTGGTTTTAGTTGTATTTACAGTAACTGTAATGCTTGGACTACTGTGATTTTTAAGGTCTTACTGTAAAGTTTACAGTATTCTACTGTAAGAATCTTACACAGTAATGTTACTGTGAAATCTGCCGTAAATAACTGTAGATTTCACAGCCATTTTTTATTATAACATAATTAATGCAATTAATATATTAATTATAATATATTGGATTTATTATTTTATACTGTTGTTATATTTATATCATTATAAATATTAATAATATTTATAATCATTATAAATATTAATAATATTTATAATGTATTATTCAACACTTTATTTGTAGCACTCTGGGGACAGCCTATTTGTTCTTTTTTTTTCACCTAGGTCTAGCATAGCGTATGACTCTTATTTATGTAGCCAAATCACACACTGGTCACTTTAAAATGTATATATAGTGTGACTATAAAACACATCTGCACCCGACCCGTGTGAGGTCTGTGAGCACGGTCGGCAGGCGTACAATGGAAACCCGTCAAGTGCTCTTGTCCTGGTGGTCAGTGTGGACTCAGAGCTCACTGAACTGACAGCGGCACGGACTAAGAGGATAATGGCCTGGGAGTGAGACTGTGTGTGTGCTGTCACGCCTGTCTCTCTCGAGCCCGTCTGTCCTTCTGTCTCACCACCTCCATTAATCTTTTACTTTGTGCTCCAGCAGCGAGAGGAAACCTGTCTGACAGCTCGTCTTTGTGGCGAGAGGTTCGAGGAAAGAGCAACAGGCGGAGGAGGGCCTGAAGGAAATGAAAGCGGCTCCTTCCAACGGCTGTTTTTAGATGCATTCACGTGTGTTTGCTGTCAAGAAACACCTTATGCTGGAGTGACACGTTTCAATGACTAAACATAACAGTAGCATGTTTTACTTAGTGTAATCAATCCATAAAGTCAAAATATTACCTTTTGAATCTTATGTTGCTTGTCGAACTGATTTTCAGTGCAATATTTGTGTCTTTTTTTATCACAAGGTTAATCTTAGTAAGTGAAAGGATGTTAGCATGCTGTTCTTTGAGGAAGCAGCAATTGGTAGATTGACTGTGATAATGCAGTAGTGTTTGGTATGGAAGCTTGTTACTGCCACAAGGAAAAAAAAACATAAAAGAACAAAACAAACAAAAAAACAGGATAAATCTTTTTATCTCACAATTCTTTTTCTTCTCAGAATTGTGATAAATTATAATAAGTTCTAACATCTAAATTGTGAGAAAAAAAATGTCTGAATCACTTTGCAATTCTGAATTACGATTTTTTATCTCACAATTATGAGAACAAAATAATTGTGTGATAAAAGACACAATTATATTTGACTTTTTTCATGGCGGAAACTATTAAGCTTACATAGTATGGCGAGCAGGACACTTGTTTACAGTAGTTCACTTTTTAAAAAAAAATTTTGCTGATAATTTACTCACCCCCATGTCATCCGAGATGTCCATGTCTTTCTTTCCTCAGTCGAAAAGAAATTGAGGTTTTTGATGAAAACATTCCAGGATTTTTCTCCATAATAAACTTCAGTGGGAACCAAACGGTTCAAGGTCCAAAATACAGTTTTAGTGCAGCTTCAAAGGGCTTTAAACGATTCCAGACAATGAATAAGGGTCTTATATAGGGAAACATCGCTCATTTAAAAAAACAAAAGCTCAAATGCGCGTCTTGCTCTGTTCTGTGATGCGCGTTCGTGACTCTCCTGTTCGAACTCGGTCATCAAAATGAACAAACCTTTTTTCGTGTCATTTTTGGTTCATTCAACCATAGACATATCTATGCATTCAACGAACGAAATGAACGAGTTGACTCGGGAAAAGATTTGTTCATTTTGATGAACGAGTTCGAATAGGAGAGTCACGAACGCGCATCAACCCCACTGCCTAGCAACCACTTCTGAGGTAAATAAACAACACCCGAGAGGGCCGAGTCTCCTGTTCACCGCGATTATTTTACCCAAACCTCATGTTGTCTGGTGGTAACGACGTTAATATCTTTCTCTACTCCTGACACGTCGATGTAGTCTACAGATGTCGAAAATGCCATTTCTTGTGCTCTTCGAATTAAACGGTCTATTCGCGGTTTAAACTCGCAGTATCGCAGTAAGTTGAGGGTATGTTGTTATATGGAGATTTTAGTGCTGTAACGTTAATACCATGTCCTTTCAAGACTGCATTGTTATTCTCATGAAGTAAAATTATTTTGTAAATAATAAGATGATATTTGGCTATAGACCATTTCTCAAGATGTAAACAACACTGGTCCAGATCCAGATAGCAAACTGACATTGAATCAACGTGGAAATATGACATCGAAACAACGTTGATACATAGTTTTGCTCATCGACTTAACGTTGAACCAACGTCAGACGCGTCATTCTTTCAAAACTAACGGAAAATCAACTTGAAATCAACGCGTTGTTTCAACGTTATGAAAGCAAACCAATTTTCGATTTTCATTTAGCTTTGAAGAATGCCGCGTCTGACGTTGGTTCAACGTTAATTCGATGAGCAAAATCAACGTTGTTTCAATGTCATGACGTCGTTTCCACGTTGATTCAATGTCAGTTTGCTGTCTGGGGAAGCACTTCCTGTTTCAGTTTTTTAACACTACATAAAAGCTGGGATAAAATACAACCAACAGAACATTTAAAACTGAATCAAAAAGTTAAACAAACATTTTTAAGATGTTTTCTTTACATGTGAAATAAAGAAAACAGTTACAAACTGAAACAGGAAGTTCTTCTGGACCAGTGTTGTTTACATCTTGTGAAATGGTCTATAGCTCTATGTTGTATGTCGTCATATTCAAAATATATTGATATACGCTTTTATTTAAATTATTGATAGAATTTCATTGTCAGTATGTGGCCAGAAACCCACAGTGACATGAAATTATTCATACTGCAGCTTCATATGTATTTTAAAACAAACATAATCTCAGCTAATTCCTGCATATGAAATGTGTATACTTTAAAACATTTTGCATTAGAGAGAAATTTTTTTTTTTTTTTTCTAATTCTCATCACGCTCTAGTTCTGGAAGTTTTTAAGAAAAGGTCTGTCAGCATTTTTATCTCTTTATTTGTATTATTTTATCCTCTTAAGAACAGGAAAGTATGAGTGCTATAGACCACGATGACTTTACCATTGTACTTTTTTCTAAAGCCGTTGCCGTTGAGCATTTAATGCACTAAACTCAACAAGATTTTCTGATTGAATCGTCTTATCTTATCAGGTATGAGATCCGGGATACACACATGGTGGAGGAGAGCGTCATGATGACCCTGAAAGATAAAGCGGACTTCTCCAGCTTCAAGCCTCGTCCCTTCAACATGCGCGAGTTCTACGATCGAACGGGCCACGACATTAAGGAAATGCTCTTGTCCTGCTACTTCAGAGGAGCCGAATGCAGCGCCGAAGACTTCACAGTGGTGAGCGTGAACACAATCTCTGTTTCAGGTCTTCTGAAGGACGGAATCCGATCGGTGGAGACTGGAATTGTATTAGGTACATTTTGTCCTCCATGTTTATTATACACCAAAGTTTTTATTGCCAAAGTGTTCCAGAGCGAAGTGGACTTGTCATCTTTAGGTCACGCGTTGAGCTCGTACAGTCGCACTGAAGCGAGCTTTGCTGCCTGGTGAGATGGCGAGAGATTATTTTTACCCGTGGGGTCGTATCGATCTGATCCTCTGATAACACCGTGAAGAGGCCTCACTTAAAAGATTCCTTTATTCCCCTGGTGATACTAAGATAAGGTTTCTGGAATGGGTTTATTCATCATCTTGCTGTATGTGATTGATAACAGCCGGAGAGGGAAAGGGTTTTTTTTTTACTTGAAGAGCACAAGTATTTGTCTTTGCACTTGTAAAGTCCTATATTTTGAGAGGATTTGGCAAAATGGCAATATTTTTGTAGCACATTGAGCCACTATTTTTTATTCCACTATTTAACACCTAGGATGGCGTTAGTAAATTGTGGGACAATATTCATTTTTGGGTGAACTATCCCTTTAACTCTTTGAGATCTATTGTCTCCTGTCAAGTCGACTGTGTTTTGAATGGATTTGTTGAAATGCCTGTTTCTTTTATAGCATAATGATCTGGTAGCAACACTTTTTTTTAATGCTCAAGCATTGAGATGTCTAATTTTAGTTCTGATCATCCAGGTTATCACGAATGACTCTAATGGAAATGTTTTAAATGTGTGTTGTCTTCATAGATCGGTTTAAAGAGCTGTGCGAGGACCGTATTGATTATTGATAAGACTATTAATTAGTGTTATGAAGAGAGATGAACACTGACATTTCCAAGTACCGCAGAAGATCTCAACGATATTACGATTGATTTAAAACAACTTCCAGTGTGAAAGAGTTTGTGTTCGGCCTCTCGGCGTCTGAGCTTTAACGTAATAGCGGAAATTTAGCATTGTTCGAAACTTGTTTTCATTCTAAGCAAGTGGGATTTTTCAGTGAATGTGTTCAATGTTCAACTCTGCGTAATTTCAGCCACGACTTACTCCAGTATATAGTTTATTTAATCGAAATTGGTTTGCTAAATAATTTGTTTTTCTAACTTTTTAAAAGTTTGAGCCGATGGTTGATTTACATAGTAGCGTACATAATGACCGATTTCTTACACTGTAAAAAAAATATTGTTGGTTTAACTTAAAAAAATTAAGTAACTTGGTTGCCTTAATTTTAAGTTGATTGAACTGGAAAAAGTGAGTTAATACAATACAAGGAGATTGATTTAATCATTAGAAACTCAAAATAATAAGTTATCTGAAATAAATAAATTATTTAAGTTGATTTGACAAAAGAAAAATTGACCTAAACCTGCTTCGATGACCTCATCCTCATGTGACGGCCCGTCTATGAGCTGCAGGACAGGGCTGTAGTACGTTTGAGATGTAGGTGAGTGTTTGTGTCGTTTCCCTCAGTGGACCCATAAGCCCCAGCTGCTGTGTGTGAGCGCACACATGTATAAGAGCTGCGTTGTGCTGATGTGAGTGTGTGTTTGTGCTGATGCTGAACAGCTCAGCAGAGAGCAATAACACTGTATGATGAGACACACATGAGCAATGAAGCAGCAAAACTACCTTTACTTGACATGTGTGTTTGTGTGTGTGTGTACCTACTTGACCATATTTTGGGGGCAAATTTGTACCCAGAATTGAGAGAAACCTGACAAAACCTCCTAAACCTCCTTTTGGGGATGTCCTCGTTTGCGTTAAAACAAAGTAAATTGTGTAGGTTTGATTTAGGTTATAGTATTTATAACTAGCTGACTATGCAATTTCTCCATTAAGATAACCTGAAAGTGTGTGTGTGTGTGTGTGTGTGTTTGCTGTATGTCGGCCTATTCCTCAGTCTATCTGCCCTAATATCTGTCTAATCTCCATCTATCTATCTATCTATCTATCTATCTATCTATCTATCTATCTATCTATCTATCTATCTATCTATCTATCTATCTATCTATCTATCTATCTATCTGTCTGTCTGTCTGTCTGTCTGTCTGTCTGTCTGTCTGTCTGTCTGTCTGTCTGTCTGTCTGTCTGTCTGTCTGCCTACAGTATCTATCTATCTATCTATCTATCTATCTATCTATCTATCTATCTATCTATCTATCTATCTATCTATCTATCTATCTATCTATCTATCTATCTATCTATCTATCTATCTATCTATCTATCTATCTATCTTTCTATCTATCTTTCTATCTATCTATCTTTCTATCTATCTATCTATCTATCTATCTATCTATCTATCTATCTATCTATCTATCTATCTATCTATCTATCTATCTATCTATCTATCTATCTATCTATCTATCTATCTATATGTCTGTCTGTCTGTCTGTCTGTCTGTCTGTCTGTCTTTCTACAGTGCCTGTCTGTCTATCTATCTATCTGTCTGTCTGTCTGTCTGTCTGTCTTTCTACAGTGTCTGTCTGCCTGTCTGTCTATCTATCTATCTGTCTGTCTGTCTGTCTGTCTGTCTGTCTGTCTGTCTGTCTGTCTGTCTGTCTATCTATCTATCTATCTATCTGTCTGTCTGTCTGTCTGTCTGTCTGTCTGTCTGTCTGTCTATCTGTCTTCTGTCTACAGTATCTGTCTGTCTATCTGTCTGTCTGTCTGTCTGTCCCTCTTTCTGTCTCTCTTTCTCTCCAAGTGCTGTGTCATGTATCTCTTGGTAGTTCTTGTAAATTCTTGTAAAAAAACATCCAGTGCACTTTAATTATTCTCTCATTATAAGAAGCCACACAACACCAGAAGGGCCGTTTAGTGCAGGTTCCTTGAGTGAGAGAACACGGCGACCTATAAACAGACCTGAGTTCAGTCTGAGTTCAGGCGTTTGTTGTTGATTGTACATATAAATCCATCCGTCTCATCCCAACGCCTCAGTCCGCTGCTTCTGTGCTAAAGAGTTTGAACTTCCAGAGCACTGAATTCCCTGCAGAACGCCCGCTGAAAGTTTCTTCAAACTAGTTACCATGAAAACAAACTTCACTTAACACTTAAATCTCCTAGAAGGACAGAAGACTTCATTCTTCAATTCAGTATTTTCATTACACGTTCTACCTTTATCCCAGATTAACAGGCCATAGAAGTTCTTATAGTCTCTCAATGTCACTCTTGCAGTTTCTATTGCACCACCAAAACGTCTCTCGTGAACATTAACCTCATGTCGTGAATTTCTGAAAAAAGCCTTGGTTGTCTTTACATATCATGGATGGCTGCATGATTTTGTTATATTTTTAATGAGAAACCCTGCTCTTAGTGCACTATTAGGGCTGTCCTTAGTTGAAATCAAATGAATTGCATAATATTCCAGTTTTTTACTCTTAATTAGTTGTGTGTAAGAAAAGCTTCTAAATGAAGCCTTAATGACATTATTGTATGTTAAAATGATAAAATGTCAAGTCAACATATTGTTATTGTTGGTCAGCCATTATTTTTCAGGAAAATTGGGAAGAACACGTTTTGTTACGCAATTTTATCGGATAAAAGATTTACCGCATATTTCTTATTGCACTAAATGAACCTGGAAAATCAACAGCCCTGTGTTATTATATTAACAATTGCATGTCAAATTACAATTTGTGATTGATTTAATTAGCTTGCTTACTGTTAATGAACATGTTGCATTATGCATGTTAAATTCAAACAATTATGAAAATTAGTAAGTATTTGATTTTTAAAATCAGTAGTAATTGATTCATAAATATAAATGAAGAAAATATTTTACTAGACCATTTGTGTCATGAGTCTGGGCTGGAAATTATAATTTCTGTTTTTAATTTCCTCCCACCATGAGTGAAATGTCTGCGAGGGTCTCCAATGTGCTGTTGTCTGCTAGTACCCTTCTTTTCTCATATCGTTTTTGGAAAGACGGATGTGTGAATGAGTGAGTGGGTGTATCCGCTCACGGCGTTATGGCTTTAAACCAGAGATTTCATGACTGTTCGTACACACAACTCTCATTTTTTGATATTCAGCCCAATATCAGCTCCTCATGTGGGTGTTCCTGTATAGGTGATGTGTTGCGCTGGTCCCTTTAGAGAATTACACTCTAGTGTTCACAAATTCAACATTAGATGATTTCACTGAGGTCCTTTCTGCTCCTTGACACATTTAGTATGCCTTCTGTCCTGGTAAAGTGCCATATTTTTCTATAAGTCAAGCTTTTCTATTACTAGTGCTCACCCTTCTGTAAGGGAAGTATTAAAGTATGCATTTTGTATGTATGTAACTAGTCCTGTCCTAGCAACCACTCAAACAAATGCTCAACACCATTACAATACATTAAAACCCCTCCGAGCACTTTGGCAACATAGCAATGCCATAGGAACCGGTCAAACAAATGATTTACCGCATAACAATACATTAAAACCACTCCGAGTACCTTGGCAACATAGCAACGCCATAGGAACCGGTCAAACAAATGGGCAACCGCATAACAATGCATTAAAACCACTCCGAGTACCTTGAAAACATAGCAACGCCCGAGCAACCACCCAAACAAATGATCAACCCCATAACAATGCATTTAAACCAATCAAAGCACCTTGGCAACATAGTATCGCCCTAGTAACCACCCAAACAAATAATCAACCCCATAACAATGCATTAAAATCGATCCTAGCACTTTGGCAACATAGCAACGCCCTAGCAACCGGTCAAACAAATGATCAACCGCATAACAATGCATTAAAACCACTCCGAGTACCTTGAAAACATAGCAACTACTAAACAAATGATAAACTTATAACAATGCATTTAAACCATTCTGAGCACCTTGGCAACATAGCAACCACCCAAACAAATGATAAACTGTATAACAATGCATTGAAACCATTCTAGCACCTTGGCAACATAGCAACCACCCAAACAAATGATAAACTGTATAACAATGCATTGAAACCAC